CCCCCCATGCCCCCCTGGGCCCAGGCCTGGGCCCACCCATTGCTGCCATTAACCCTAAGCTGGCGACACCCACCCCCTCCAGACCCTGCCCCCACGAGCCCTTTGTCCTCTGCCCCCACCACCCCACTTTATGATAGCCCCAAGGGAGAGGCAGGGACTGGGTGCCGGTGGTCGCTGGGACCCGGCTGGGGGGCGGGAGGCGGGAGGGACCCAGGGCCACACCCTCCCCCCCCCCAGGCCTCGGGAGAGAGAGGTCACCAGCTCGGGCAGGGCCTTGCAAAACACGGTTATTTAAAGAGTTGAGCAAGCCTCGGGGGCCCGCGGGTGGCGAAAGGGGCCCCTCATTCCACGGAGGGAAAAGGAGGGGGAGGAGCGGGGCAGAAAGCTGGGGAGGGGGGCGCCAAGAAAGTGGGGGGCGAGCGCCCCGGAGGAAGCCAGAAAAGAAAAACTCAAGACGGAGAAGAAATCAAACGGCAAAACCCCCGGCGCGGCGCGGACCTCAAAGGCTTCTTGGAAAGCGGCCGATTTGCATGGGTTGGGGGGGGTGGCACCCCCGGGCCCGAGCTGCTAAAAACGGAAGATGTTGACAAACCCGCCGCCGGGGTCGTTGGCGTTGACACACACGCGCGCCGCCCGCGCCCGCTTTTGTGTCTGGGGGGCACCGACTCGGGGGGGTCTTCCTGGGGGCGCGGGGGCCCCTCTCTGCCCCGGAGCCGGCACTAGATCCATAAACCCCGCAGGCTGGGGAGGGTCGCGGGGAAGTGTCCCCCACGCCGCCGCGCGCCCTCCCCTCCGGGGGGTCCCGCACAAACAGCCGACTCCGAAGGCTAAAACTCCGGGGTGCAGCCCCCCGCGCGCGCACGGAGCCCATTTCCTTCCGCCGGGGGAGCGCGCACCCGCGACCCCCGGTGCGCCCCAGTGCGATCTGATAAGGGGTGAGGTCTCCATCCGGGGCGCAGAGAAAACCCCCCGAAACCCCACCTGTTGGGGCCGCCCTCCCAGTCCCGGACCCCCCACCCACGTCTCTGCCTAACTTCGGGGACCCCCCACCCTAGAGGGGCTCCCAGGGCGCACTGGCGCCCAGCCCGGGGCCAGCCTTACACCCACCCCGCCCAAGCCTTACCGCGCA